CATTTTGGAACTCGATCTACAGGTATCCCTTGAACGCGGCATGCCGCCGTCGGTCCAGGAAGCCGATTATGACACGGCTCCGGCACTCAACATTAATGACGACGAGATCCACGAGGACAGCACAGAGCTTCCAGCGGCGAAGCCGTTAGGTGTAATGACTGATTGCTCGTTCCAAGCGGTCCTCGCACAATCTCTTTCGCTGCGGCTCAAGGCCTGCGCATTAATGCATGCCCCACATATTAGCTGCCGATACGAAGAAATCCTACACTATGACTTCGAGTTGAACCGACACCTATCCAAGATCCCTACCTGGCCGACATCAGACGTGGACGACTTCCAAACCGCGCACCGCGGAATCCTTATCCGAGCAATGCTGGAAAACAAAATCGGACATTCCCTCTTATCTATACACACGCCTTTCGCCATTGAAGCGCCCAAGGACTCCCTCTTTACACCCTCCGCGCGGGCTCGTTTAGAAGCGGCGTCGATGATTCTATCCACACAACGGCGCTTACGCGAAACTTCGCAACAGCTATCCCTCTGTAACATGGGCGACTGGACCATGCAGGCGTACTGCACTATATGCGAGCTCTTACATCAGGGGCAAATGACCACCGGTAAGCCTAGTCATCCCTATGTCATTGTACTATATGCTGATGCACATCAGGCGCTTCCACCTTTTTGACCCGAACCCTTCCTGGACTACCCGAATCTCTCATATCCCTGGTGGAGGTGGTTCTTACGTGTCTCGAATCCCGGCTTCTCCTTGTGGTCAAGGGAGCCAAGGAATATTTCTTCATGTCCACGATTGTCGCATTGGTTAAAGTAGGTCTCTGGCCGAGTCAAGCGCAAATTTACAAGCAGGAGGTTGTGGAGAGAGTTATTCTCTTTGCGCAAACCCTGTTTACACGACACGCCAATTGCGCCCATCTAGGCGAATGGGGATTGGGCAACTTCAAGACCAACCAAGTGAGTGTTTCTGTTTACTTTATATTCCAACCTGTACTAATCTGGTTGTGATAGGTTCCTAGCTTAAATGCAACCCCTGGATTGGCACCCCCATTTGTTCCCGATGTGAGCATGGCGCACGCGCCGAACTTTGGCATGATGGTAAGTCTGTTTCTTATCTGTATATATGTCACTGGAGCAATGATCTAATAAGACACAGCAGCCACCGGGAGGAGATTTAGATCCATTCCTCGACGCCTTCGACTGGGGCGACCTAACCGGCTTCACGTTGCAGCAATGATGTAAAAATGCCTCTATATAATCATGACGACTGTATGTAACTGTACCAACACCTCCGTGTACACTCAATCCCTGGAATACTGTAATATGTATTATCATTCTGTATGAACACAACATTTTCTTTATCCCCAGATACGATCGTGAACCCTGACCGATCATCTATTACCATGATGCCACAACACAACAACCGAACAACGATTAGACACAAACAGGATGGCGATCATTGGATACATATACCTTGTAATTATCGATGTCAATAATAAGTCATTGCACACAAAGGCAGAGCCGTCATTCGTCTCCACGGCAGGGAAAGTGGACCGAGGGATCGACAGCCCGACCGCGATGCAGATCGGATGATATCAGAAGTGGTAAGGATTTTGCCATTGCTGGTCCACAAAACGAGGTTCCTGGAGGACAACTTGATTGAGTGAGTAAACAATTCACTTCATAGTCAGACGAAGTACTTCAGAATTGTGGTGAGCGAGCGTGTTTGGTCACATGCTCTAAGGTAAACTGTATTCTAGTACTGCAGACCTAATTGATCGTATTGCTCGCTGTCCTGAGTAGCCGAACAAGTCAATTGGTCAATAGATTACTGACACCATCCAAGAAGAATTGTAAAATAAAGATGTAAGGAGCGCGAAGACAGATACCACTGCTGAATTGACTTCAGGCAGTGCTGCGATTTGACCACCAAACCCCGGTTGGCGACGAACTCTCCCATACCCGAAACCACGACATGAACATTCAATTACCTTACAACCAAACACAGGGCTGAAGATGATCTTCAGGAGATTCTGCCCTTCTATTTCTGTTCGAGTGTTCTACTTTCTTTCAGTGGTTCTTTTGTGGCTTTGCATCGCTTTCATCCCCCAAGTTGCTCTACCGAGCAAGAGGCTGAGCGTGGGGGCTAATTGCTTAGCATGATCAACGAACACTACTTATCGTACTAGCTTCACCACTAACATAGAATCGTTCCCCTTACTGTGAACTAAAGTGGTTTGTTTTATGTCCTGCCTCGTTTCTTATCTACGGATGAACGGCTGTCGCTGTCACATGGGTGGGCAGTCAACTGTGTGTGGCTGATGCTCTGTAGATATACCCCACTGTGAATACGAAATGCAGGCTGACAGTGCCAGGTGCAGCGGGCTTTTCAAACGCCTCTCTTGCGGGTCCATTTCTCGAAGGTGTCAAGCGGAAAAAATGCAGTTTGATGCGCTGTGGGGGACATTGACTCTTGCCTGGACTGATATCATGACAGAGGCTGTCACCTTGTCAGACAATGACTTCAGGCAGGATGAATGTAACATGCAATGCAACAATACAATCATCCCGTCCGAGTAGATCCACACACCGCATTGATCCAAGTAAGAACCAAAATCATGAGCAGAAGCAGAATTTTCTAGCGTCATGCACTCAAGGGTTCAATACGAGATAGAAGAAAGACTATGTTTTAGGCAGGCATATTACCTTAGCGGCTGTGGTATCCCCCGTTCGATCTATACGGTATTGACGGTATGAAGACCGTCTCAATGCAGGGTCGTGACCAGCTCTGGGTGATCCGGATCTGCAGGGTTCTGACCAACCCGGGCAGTTTATTGGCTAGAAGGTAGACATCGGGCGGGTACGGGTATTACAGCCTGTGAGAGCGGTAACGGTATTCCGTGTAAAAGCTTGACTGTGGCCTATTCTTGGAACGATTGCCGTCATGGAGACAATCTAGATTTCTCGCCAACTTTGTCGCTGGTGACGTGCTTCGTGGTTATTCCCACCTTCTGTTATCCATCTACTACTACTAATAATCTCGCTTTATTAGATAGGGATCCTCACCATGATGGTCGTTGACTTTCAATCAGATTCCAGGCAGCTAATCTCACTCCCACAGCCTCGTGGGCCAAATCTTAGCGGCCTTTCTGTGCGTCTGCGCTGTCATACAGCTAAGCCTTGTTGGCCCCGTTAGTCCCTTGACTAGCTTCACTTCCGGTCTCTCTCACTGCCAATCATGCTGCCCACGGCACGCTGCCTGGTCTAGCTCTCCGTCCCTATCTGCCTTGTCCTCAATTCCAACACCCTCATCCTTAATGGGGCCGGATCGCTCCGGCCCCATTCCCCTGGATCCTTGTCATTGATATATCCCGATGAGATCCCCTCTGCTGGACGCTGACCCATCATTTCAGTCATTCATGTCAGTTCTGCTCTACTAGTACTACTCTTTTCTGTGACTTTTTGAGGACTATTCTCCTCGCGCCACTCCTTTTTGCAGAAGTTTTGTTCCACAGCATCATGAAGAGCATCACAATGCTGCCATCTGTGATTTCCGTCTTATTTTTCCTGCTCTGTGCAGTGAACGCTGTTCCGCTGGCGCCCCGGGCGAGCGCGCTCGCCGGGATCGACACCAAGTCATTCTCTAAGACCAAAGATTATCCTCTTCCCAATCTGGGCAACATCGTCGCCCATGACCCTAATGTCGTTCAACATGACGGCTATTTCTACTTGTACAAAGGTGGTGTGCACATCCCGATTCACAGAGCCCGCTCCCTCAGTGGGCCTTGGGAACAGGTCGGCACTGTTCTGGACGAGTCCAGCGTGATCCAGAAGCAAAACCGCTCTCGTCCTTGGGCGCCTACGACCATTCAGCACGACAACCGTTTCTACTGCTTCTACGCGATTAGCGAGAACGGCAGTCGCGACAGCGCCATTGGAGTCGCCTCTTCGGACACTCCCACCGGTGGAAACTGGACGGATCATGGCGCTGTTGTCAACACCGGCAAGGGAGACCTGTCGGACATCTATCCCTACTCGGTCTCCAATGCGATTGACGGCGCATTTATCACCGATCAGGAGACTGGACAGTCTCATCTGCTTTACGGGAGCTACTGGCATGGCATCTTCTCGGTGCCATTGGCTGATGATCTCCTCTCCGTCAAAAACCCGAAGACCCCGAACGCAACCAACCTGGCCTACATCCCAGACGCCAAGTCGAAGCCTATCGAGGGCTCTTTCATGACTTACAAGGAGCCTTACTACTATCTGTGGTTCAGCCACGGCAAGTGCTGCCACTTTGATATTCACGCTTTTCCGCCCATGGGAGACGAGTATGTGCACACAATCTTCTATGGAAAAATTGATAGCTAACAATCACAACAGGTACAGCATCCGAGTCGGCAGATCTAAGAGCGCGACAGGTCCTTTCGTGGACAAGGATGGCCATGATACCCTCAAGGGAGGCGGTACCATCGTCTACGGATCCAACCATGGAGTTGTCTATGCCCCCGGTGGTGTGGGCGTGTTGATCAACAACGGCAGCGACGCGGATGTCTTGTATTACCATTATCGTACGTTTGCGGTCCACAATAGTTGAGGAATTAGCTAACAGAACTTGCAGTCAACACTACATCTGGTTTCGCACAGGGCGTGAGTCAAACCCCAACAACCCATTGACAAGATTACACTAACGCAATACAGGACGCTCATTTGGGATGGAACTATCTGCACTATGTAAATGGATGGCCAGTGGCTGTCGAGGGGTATGTTAATGCCAACAGCAAATAACGCTCAGGCACTAAAGGTGGAAATTCAGTAAATCTAGCATAAACGCTACATCAACCGAAAGCAGTGGTCGGGCTATACAACCGAACCACTCGCTCAATTCACTAGCGCTTCTGTGTATGTGCTGTCTAATCTTGAATTGCTCCCTACCCACTATACTGGCAACAAACTCATTGTTCTATTCGTTGCGCTAGTCATTGGTGCATTCCTTTGGCTCTACAGTTGAATCTACGCCTCTTCTAGCGTCCACCGATGTCCGCCAAGTCGTCTCGCACTGCCTGTTCTTGGCCAAAATGGGGCCAGATCTCAGGGTCCGATCCTGCAGGAACCAACATGGGGCCAACGCATTGCTCGATTGGTATATCTGAAACCAACATGTTGGTTCGAATGCCTCATGGAGCAACTAACTGCACAGACACGATTCATCCATGCCACAGACATCCAGCAGGATCACGGGTCCCATCCACCATCCACATTCAGGGCCGTGCCCGTGGTATACGACGAGGCATCACTGAGCAAAAACAGCACAGAATGAGCAACTTCATCAGGCGTCCCCACTCGCGGCATCACCGTTGGAGTGGGAGTGAATCCTCCCTGGATGGCCGTGGCCCTATCCAACAACGGTGTCTGAATCGACCCACTACACAACCACCGTCAGCGCCACCCCCAACAAGCCCCCAAACCAGGGAAGCGAACAAGCGAAATGAAGGAGTCAGAAAAAGGGAGCAACACTCACGGCGCAACACAATTAACCCTAATATCCGGCCCCACCTCCTTAGCCACACTCCTGGTCAACCCAACAACCCCATGCTTAGTGGCCGAATACGCAGCATGCAACGCAAAGCCCCTCAGACCCTGAATACTCGCCGCATTGACAATACTCCCCGTCTTACTCGTCTCCTGAATCGATCTTATCTGGGCCCGCATGCAATACATCACCCCGGATAGATTCACCCTCAACAACATATCCCACTCCGCATCATCCTGCTCCAACAACGAGCCCGTCCCATGCTTACTCCCAATCATGCCAGCCATATTTGCTGCGCCATCGAGCCGACCAAAATGGCGGACCGTGGCATCGATCCACTCTTCCACGGACGAGCGGGATCCAACATCCACGACTCGGGTGAGAACATTCTCGTCGGTAGCGTTGGGAAGCTGCGCCCGTGCGTGCTGCAGCGCCGAGTCGGATATATCTGCTAGGGAGAGACGAGCTCCTTGGGCGTGCAGTTGGCGTGCCACGGCCAGGCCGATGCCTGAGAGGCCGGTTATGGTGTAGACTTTGTCTTTGAATGATGATGATGATGATGACGACATTATGCTATTATGATTTGTTGATATACTTTGGATATGATTTTGTTGATATTATGGTTTGTTTCTCAACTGTGTTTTGATTCAGTTCAGTTTGATTTTCAGAGTTATATACTTCCTACCCCGCATCGGCATCCGCGGAGAAGAAGAAGAGGGGGGGTTTATATACCCGTTTCGGAGTGACAGACTCGGGGATACTCCGATCGGGGGATAATCATGAACACATGATAGATCTAGAATTAGAAGCTAGGGTTGCATGGATATATCAATGGCAGATAATAGTGTGGATCAAATCAGCGTGCCCAATCGGCTAAATGGGTAAATGCGATCACGACGGCTACTACTACTACTACTACTACTACTACTACTACTACTACTACTACTACTACTACTACTTGAAAAAAGGAAGTACTTCGACAACAGTAAAGCAGCAGCTGATTCCCTAAGAATCATTACAAGTACCGTGATAATTTAGTAGTGCTATTATTAGTAGTTACAGAGTGAGTCAATATGCATTACAACATCCACAAACACATAATATTCCTTAGTATTGGTACATTAACAATTGGTAAACCTATAGAGATGTGGTGTAATATCTAACCGAATACTACGAATGTGAAGTCGAGTTCAACCACGGATCATCTGGAGGAACAGTTCCTGGTTCTTTCCGCCGAGGTTTTCCTCCGTTTCTTCGAGTGACGTAGTAGGAATGGTCACTCCGCCTGCGCCTAGCCATTTGCCTATGGATATATTAGCTCGATTTTCTTTTTAACAATGCCATTTCAGAAGCGGGGGAATGATAGGGGTAAACGGACCATCATCTGTAAACACATTCCGAGTCTCTCGACTTCGCTCGATAAAAGCCAACGGAGGTAAACCAAGAAACCCCACCATCTCGGCTACATGGTGCGATAGCGAGTAATCCCCGTCTTCGTCGAGAGTATTGAATAGATGCTTTTCCTCGAATATATCCCAGATCTGTAGCAGTTAGCAACTTAGTAACTGCAGTCATTCAAAGATTATTATCTGAAGTTACTTACCATTACGCCAAGATTCCATATATCGACACTAAACCCCCATTCCATATCGAAGAGCACCTCTGGGGCCTTGTAGATGTTCGGTTGGATGATTCCTGTATGACTTGGCCCTATTCTCGCCTGGCCGAGGTCACAGAGTACGGGCTGGCCCCAGAGCATGTCTTTGGGTAGGCTTAGCTTTCGAGATGTGTAGATTGAACGTGTGCTGTCTATGGTTTTCTTGGGAGCTGGGGTTTGTTGTTCGGATATTTCGAAGTCTGTAAGAATCGAGGGATCGTCTATGCTGAGCATGATGTTTGAGGGTTTTATATCTGTATAATTTTGTGTTATTGTTGATGATTTTGTCAGTTGGTTGAGAATAGGGAAATGTACCGGTATGAACAACGTTCGCTTCCGTGTGTAGAAAGTCAAGTGCTTGAAGGATACATTTCAGGGTTTCTTTGAGTAGAAACTCGCCCAGTTTTCGGGAGCTGGAAAGCATTCGCAGATCATGTAAAGACATGTGCATTGGTGGATGCACTAAACATGGATATCTGCCGTCTGGAGTTGTGATGTCGAAGGTATCATGCAAGCCACGGATATAGGAACCTCCTATATGGAAAGACTTCAACATGCTGAGGTGGTCGTATATCCTCAGCTCTCCAGATAGTATTCTCGATGAAGCGTTCTTGGTTAGGATCTTGACAGCCACGTATGTCTGTTCACTTTACAGAGGTAGGTCAGTACTAGAGGTCATTGTGTAGACTGAGGGGACGTACCTTTTCTCATGGCATAGCCATACGGTAGAGTAAGAGCCATAGCCGAGCTTTCCTACTACTCTGTATCTCGAATTTAGAAGTTCGCCAATGTGTACGGGATAAAATTGTCCTGGTTTGTAGAATGGAAGCTTCTCCTCTTCAAGTGGCTCCACGGGCTTAGTAGCAAATGCTCGAGAGCGTATTGCACGCTTGCAATTGAAGACTGTTGCTCGTGATGAGATGAGCTTGTTATACTTGATGAGTGATAGACCACTCCTGATTGTTGAAATGTACTTTTGTGTCATTGCAAGGACCGAAGAGAGTACGAGGTAGTTGTCAAACGCAAGTCTGCCGGAGCGCGGCTCTAATGAGAGATGCGCCACGTGCGGGAGGTGGAATGCAATGCAAGGCGGAGGATAATCCCTCCTTGCTTCGAGCAATGCACTCTAAACGCTCACTCACCCCACGCTCTCTTACATGAGGAATATGAGATTGTTCTACGGATGATGTTTGTTGGATGCTTTGATATCTGCAATGTGGACTACTGGGTTAGGGCGTTTCGCAACGATATGGGCTGCGAAAGCGGTATCCTTCTGCTAGGCGTCTATTTATGGCACATCTTCAGCACTCTTTCCCTTAAATAGTTAACATAACCGGACAAACTCTCTCCTCTTCATCTACCTGTGGACCTGTCCATCCATACAATAACACTCTTATCATCACGGACTCTATCCCTTCTCTCAGTAAGGACCGGTATCTGCTATACTTCGATCCTCATTCTCATCCTTACAGAGAACAAAGGTCTCTATCGCCATCATCAGGATGCCCCCTTCAAGCCAAAGAACCTTCGAGCTCAGTATCAGAGTCACTCAAACTCAGGGCAACGTATCTGAGCTCCAAGCATCGCCCACCACTCCTCAGCAACTTTTGCAGCTGGTTAGACGCCGTATAGTCGAAGCTGAGGGGCCCGAGTATTTCGAATACCAACAGGTCTCGCTTGAAGCCGGGTCCTTTGTGGTACGAAGCTTCTCCAGGGATGGCAATGTGGAACAAGCAAACCCAACCTTGAGCTACAATACACTAGACAGGGTGCTCTCGGTGACCATGTCAAGCATGACCCACGGCAGCGCGCTTCTTTGGGGAGTAACTGAAATGATTGACAGTCTTAGCCAAAGATACTTCACCAGGGATGAATTCAGAGATCTAATGATGGGTGGGAATGACGGTAGGAAATCCGATTATTACGCCTATGCTTATACTATGGACTGAATATCACTAATAAATCTACATGCATGCAGGGTTCTTCAACTTTCCCGCGCCGTGGGCCACCGGCAGCTATAAAGAACCCGATTTCCACATTATCCACCCTAACACATTGCTACCTACAGTGGTTATTGAATGTGGATACTACAATGAAAGCAATACCAAGCTGCAATGTGATAAAGATCTCTGGCTTCTGGGTGGAGCACCGCATGTCAATGTCGTTATCCTGATAAAGTGGGATAAAGAGGCGGATAGTAACCGCGTTTCTGGGTGGATCGAATTGCATCGCCGCGGGGATAATGGTGCCGCTACACGCAGGGTAAGTGTCATTGATTTTGGTTTCATGCTCAAAGCGATCATAAGTCACATTTCTTATTGGCTGCCTATCCGATGACTGAATACATCTGTTTGACTCTATAGACCATCTTCCCAGCTCCTGCTCTTGGAACGCCTTGGGAGAGCGAGACCATCACCCTGTACAGAAGCGACTTTTATTCGGGAGGCGAAGTACCACCTAGAAGGAATGGAAACGATATCTGGCTATGGAGCTTGGACCGTCTGAGAGACATTGCAAGGCAGAGAATGGCCATTGAGGGACTTGTTCCAGCTTAGCAGCTCGGAATTTTGACCTGCAGCGGTGCATGGGTAAGGCGACACGAGGAGGCTCTATTCCGAGTGCTCGAACGCTACAGATCATTCCCATCTCATGTCTATTTTATCTAAATTTGCTTTACAAACATCAAAATTTGCTTTACATACTCCACGGCCAGATCAGTCAGAACAATCAGATTAGACGTCTATGCAAGTCCCAGATATGGACCAGTAGAAGATATGATATTCGATACGCATAATAAGCACTCATTGTGCCCGTAGTGTCCATCCTCTCGATATAGTACAGCAGTATAATATCACATTAGCAGATTATCGAATATTCATAAAGGCTCCAAGGTCCATCGAAATGGCCATGCGAACAGAACACCCTGGCCACTCAGCAGTCCACTCCACAAGCCGATAGTTATTATCGTCAGCAGTAACAGTGCCTGCACATGTCCAAGCTCGAACCGCTCCATTCCAGAAGGAAATTAAGCTTCGAGCGACCGAGTAATACTCCTTGGTCTTCGAAAGCGCTTCCAACGCCCCGCCCTGCGGGTTAACCTCTCCCGAACCCGTGGTCACTTTTGCGACAGATAGTGGCGCGCTTGCATACAGGTACGATGCTCGTAAGATGTTGTGTTTTGCGACGATTGAGAATAATGAGTGGGTGACTGCGAAATAGATGTCCAGCAGCTGCAAGGTCTGCGGGTGAGGAGACTTCCACGGCTTCACTCATAATTACTTCATTAGTAGTAATCTCATCCACTACTATTCTTCTCCTGTCTATATATTGCACAAATCCCACTCTCTCACCCACATAACCCTCAGCACTCCGAAGCCACAGCAACATGTTTCAAGCAGGTAGAACACCACAACAGCTCTTCACTTACCTAAAATACCGAATATTGCAGACCGGCAGAACAACTTACTTCGAGCTAGAGGGTATACCTCCTGACACAGGCCAACTGGTGGCACGGAGCCTCGCTGAAGATGGCGAGGTCGAACGAAGAAGTCCCACTTTGAGGTACGACAGCGTCACCGAGACATTCACCGTGAACATGGCTATTTTCTTACACAACTGCTGCCTAAGCTGGACATCAGATCAGATACTACTTAGAAGCGCATTTGCAGGGGATTTTCACGTCCAATGAGAGTCGGCATGTTAATCTTGGTGGGAATTCCGGTAAGTGATGTGGATATTACCTAATGTCCAATGAGTCCTTCATCATGCTATGTGAGCTATGATACTCACATGCAATTATGCCAGGGTTTTATGGAAGCTTCGTCTCGCCTTGGGCAGATAGCTATAAGGAGCCGGATACGTACATAATGAACTACGAATCTCTATCCCCGTTACCCACAGTGGTCATCGAATCCGGTTATGCAGAGAGTACGGCAAGGTTGTATGCCGACAGAGATCTGTGGCTACAGGGAGGGGCACTACATGTGAATGTGGTAATACTGATCAAATGGAACAAGCGCGTCGACAATCATATAGATGGTTGGATCGAGTTGCATCGCCGAGGAGGTAGTGATGTACCTGAGCGCTTTGTAAGTCCTTATTCAATCAGAGATAGAGATGACTTAATGATTCTAATAATAGGGTAGACTCTAATTCCCTGCACCCCCTCCAGGAACACCCTTCCAACATCATCTCATCCTATTCAGGAGCGACCTATACCCCGGAGGTATTGTGCCAGCTGGTCGAAACGCTAACGACACCTGGTTGTGGAGCTTAGATAGCCTCAGGGAACATGCCAGATTTGCAATGAGAATGGAGGGTCTTGTAGAAAGCCTAGGTTGACGCTCTGCAATTCAATCAACGCATATCCTGTGGAAACACAACAGATACTTGGAAGTCTAAATCTCCTCAACATCTCGCAGTGTCAATGATGATAAGGAAAGGATTCTGTACCAGCTTTATTTTGTTGAGAGTCCTGACGTAATAAAGACAACATAGTGAGGTGTAAATGATCATTTCAAAATACTGGGTTGAACCAGTCAATTCACATTGATTTCTAACGACAGATAAATGAGTTTTATCTGAGAGAGTCAACTGTAAACCCTTAGAAAAAGTATGCTTGAAGATAGCCTTCAACAAGTGTAATTACCGTAAGGTAAAAGCCAGCTTTGATGTTAAATCTAAACACACATCCCCCCGACGCGCAGTCATTGAGATCCAAAAGAGATAGGCTCCGTACCATACTTGCCACCCATACCCCAATACCAAAGATCCAGTAAAAAAGAGAGCGATTACTCAGAAAAGCAGCCGCCACGAAGAATGCGCTACAAATAATAGCAGCGAGGCCAAGAAACACCCGAACACGCTGTCCCAGAAACACCGCAAGGGACTGGACTCCGCATTTCGCATCATCGACCATATCTTGGACAGCGTAGGCAGTGTCGAGGAAGATAATCCAGCAGACAGTTGCGCCGAACAGAGCCAGAACTGACCCGTTGAATTCGATATTCCCCTTCACAGAAACATACCCCGGCATCACACCACTGGCAATAGAGAGGCCTACCACAAACTGAGGGAAGGGCATGATGCGCTTCATAAAGGGATAGACCAAGCCCAGTAGCCATGCAGGTGTGGTGCACAGAGTCGCTTGTGGTCCTAGCGTATACCACGTGGTCCCTAGGGTGAGAAGCATCCAGCAAAGGAAGAAGAAAGTAGCTTGTTTGACAGAGATGAGTCCAGACGGGAGTGGTCTGCTTTTGCATCGCTCGACTTGTCTGTCGTATTCGACATCACAGATATCACTGCTCATGTCATTTAATAGCTGCTTGTATAGCAGATACTGAAGGGGGATCTGCTCACTTCCAGGTACAAAACGCAGAATGAGAGACCGTTGCACTTGCCCAGATGCCGAACAAAACCCAGGCAAGTGACCATCCATCCGTCCTTCCTGACTTCGCACCAATACTGGCTCCCCAAACAGCTGGAAAGACAGACAGCCAGGATTCGTGTGTGTGGAGACGACCCATCTCCCAAATAGCGCGGATGCGCTTGCGTGTGTGGTCATCCAGCATATCGGTCTCGGGGATCAGTTTTCCTGCGACATCCATAATGGTTTGTTCACGACGTCACGTAGAGTGAAGAGTCAGGATTAGCATGATGGAAGGCACAGTTGCCGTTTGAATGAAAAGGTTTAATCTAACTTGTCTTCGTCATCTGTCAGCGAGTAACTTATGTAGTAGGGGACGGTGTGGGGTATCTCTTTTGCCCGAGTAGATACTCCGGTAGATCATCCATGCCCTGCCATGCCATGCTTATGCCTGCATCTAGACCCTACGACGTATATTACTAGACCTTGACAGGCTAGCAAGACTAAGCTCAGCGCTTAAAGCGCTGCAGATCCGACGGGCCCGTAAGGCATGTCAGATAGTAGTATGGATATGAAGTGGAGTGAGATATTGCTTTTTCTTGTCTTTGTGAGAATGATTGTGTTTCTTTCACACTGATTTGGCATCTTAGAAAAAGAAATCTGTCCACTAACCTCTACCAAGATCCTACCCAAGTGATTATCCCTGTCAACGTCTTCAGCGAGACCTCGCATCATAGCCAGGGTATGCTCGCCCAACGAGCCCCAATCTAAGAATTTTCGCCCCGTCGAATAATTGACGTTGGGAGAGTCCCCAACTTCCCCTCACGCCCGGATGCAGCTTATCCTGCAAGATACCTGGCACTGGTGACTGGCGATTACAGCTTATTGGCTCACCTCTATACTAGGCTAGGCTCTCTACCTCTGCACTGCTGATGAGGTGGGGATAACCTACAAGCCAGATTGGCGCGAAATGTTAATCCATGATGGTGATACCTTTAAATAATACTATATAGCAGAGTATTCATGATTGACACCAGGTAGACCAGCGGCCAGCTACGATCACCTTGGCAGTATAGAAGCGAAAAGTCTCACGATGACGAACAATCAATCGCCTTACCACCCGCAATATAGAACTCCACGCGAGAGGCATCGCTCCCCCTCGCAGAAAGATTCGTCTTGCATGAATCGACAAGTCCATTATCATCCCAACTGAAACTCACGACGCCACCACCCCGCAACCGCAGTCCATCAACACTCCCACCTCCCCACGCAGCCGGAATCGCCGGTCCAAGAAGCACAGCCTGTGTCTTACCAGCACGGGCATCCGCATTGGAACGGTCCAAATCTCTAATAAGCATCTGAACCATCGCTCCCACAAGCCCAAAGTTAGCATCGATCTGGAACGGCGGTGATCCGGAGTACATGTCGAATCCGTTATCTGCGAAGTTATCTTGAATCGCGAGCGAGAGCTCGGAGTACGCTTCGTCTGTAACATTGAGAAGTGCCCAGCAAGCACTACGCCATACCTTGGCCCAGCCGGTGTTGGAGTCTTCGACGCCGGTGCCGCGGGAGTAGAGGGTTGTTTCGACGGCGTCGGTGATGGTTTTGTTGGATCCATGCACGGAGGAGATGATGTAGCCTGGGTACCAGCCGTAAAGGTTGGAGAGGTGGCGGTGGGTGTCATTTCTGACGTCAATGTCGAGCTTCCACTCTTGGATCTGGCCCCATGAGCCGATGTGGATGCCTGGGTCTAGGGCGGAGAATTTGGAAGTGATGGCATTCTTAAAGGAGGTGTCGTGGTCGCCGGAGGCGGTCCAGCCTTGCAGGACGTGGTCGAAGACTTCCCAGATTAGTTGTTGGTAGTGGGTGCAGCCGAAGGTCTGGGGCGTTAGCTGGGTGTCTGCTAAGGGTTCGTTGGGCACTTACTGTCGGTCCATGCTCGGGTGAGTTGCAAGGGTTTACCACTAGAGTGCCGTCTTTGAAGTACTCGTCTTTTACAAGTTGAGAGAGCCAGAACTGCGCTGCTCCTTTGAGAATGGGATAGCCTTCTTCGCGGTACCAGGTACTGTCCTGGGAGTAGTCGAAGTGGTCCCATACGTGATGTGACATCCAGGCATTTGTGGCAGGGTAGTCAGCCCACTGTGCGACATCTTTCATGCTGATTTGGTCAGTATTGCGACTTTTATGCCGTAAATAAGCTGTTATGTACTCACGCTGTATGTCCAAATGTGTTCATCTCATCGTGCGTCACCCAACCCTCCGAGGTGCCATACAACAACTCTGCTGTCTCTGCGCCTCGAGGCATCCATGTCTCAGCCATGTATGTCCAGAGTGGCTCAGTCAGTTCACCTAACCCTGTTTGCTCAACGGCCCAGTGGTTCATCTGTAGGTTGATGTTGGCATGGTAGTCCCCGCTCCAGGCCGGAGAATAGGATTCTGTCCAGAGACCTTGCAAGTTAGGCGGCAGAGACCCTGGCCGCGAGCTTGATATGAAAAGGTACCGACCGTAGTCGAAGAGCAAATTCTCCACGTAGGGATCCCCGGGCTGGCTGTAAGACGACAGAAGCTCGGTAGTTGGACGGTCGGCTGAGCCATTGGGATCTGGGAGGGTTAGTGTGAACTCATTGAAGACGCCTTGGTAATCTTTGACGTGAGATGACTTGAGTGCAGAGTAAGTCTTTTTGGCAGCATTGGTAGCAGCTTGGAGTACTTTCGTGTACGGGTTTACCCCTTTGAACGAAAAGCCAGCTTCTGAATTCCCGTTGGAGGCATCATAATTGGTGTCAGCAGCAAATACAAGGAACACCTCCTTTTCGCCCTCTGGTACTTTAATGGTTGATGAGGAGCAGAGATCAGATGTATTGCTTGACCCGGGAACGACAACAGTCACCCTGGCGTTGTAAATCATCCCGATAACGGGATATGTCTGACCATATAGGCTGATGCTATTCCCATGGCAGCTGACATTCGGGGCAGGCGAGGTGAGCTGATTCTCGAGGCCAAATGTAATACCAGGCAGTGATGAATTCGAGCTGAGTTTGTAAACGCAAACATTATCTGGATACGAGCAGAACGCTTCCCTGGTATCTGTCAACAATCGATCCATGGGACCGTTGAGGCTGCTTACCTTTCGATGTAAGTCTCGGCGGTGCTGAAATGATCCGAGTAAACAGCCGAACTCAGGTCCAAATTCCGACGGTATCCATCAACATCACTCAATTGGCCCATGTCGATGGTCAAGTTTGCCAACACCTGATACGAACCGTAGTACGGATACTCGCCCAGCAGCGCAGAGACATTGCCTGTCCCATTCTGGAATATCCATTCCCTGATGCCAGGAAGTGCACCTGCCTTGGAAACGTTTGGATTTCCTCCTGAGTATGTCTATATCGCTCTCAGGATTTATTTAGCCTCGAAGGCGGTTGACGCGGGTAGTATACGCTCCACGCACCGGACTTTCAAATGGTCCTCCGCGCCACAACGAGTCGACATTAAGATTAACAATCTCCTTGTCGTAGGAGCCAATAGGCATTGCTAATGATTATTTTAGTATCCGACCATAAAAACCTTTCGAAGTCTCGTCAAAGTTTACCTCCCAACCGTCCATTTCCTAGCGGAAATGCAGTGCTTATGAAGCTACTGTAATCTCCCGGGGAATCAGACCATAACGACTTGGCTGCCGCAAATGGCAAGGTCAGTGCCCAAAGGGCCGCCGATGATCCAGAGATGAGCATTCTGCGTGAGCTGGCTGCTTGGAGTCGAAGGCTGAAGTGCAGCGGAGAGGGGGAAAGGGGGCCATTTTATCGCCGTCGTGGGTTAACCCAGCGTATGATTTATAAATGATCACATTGTCGAATGATGGGGAACGAGCTGAAAAGAATTATATTAGCTGCAGCTACCTACATTAAAACCGAGGTGTACTGTGCCTCTATTGGAGGGAATTCTCAGGAGGATAGGAACCGTCCGCAGTAGTCCCGTTAGCCTGCAGATCGGCGAAACCGGCTTTCGATAGAATTGCTTGCATTTCGCAGGACTGGACAAGTGTTCCACAAGAGAATGATGCGGGGAATCGGTGGTATGGTTGTGATTGATTGATTAAATTGAGGGAGGATCAAAGAGAGGTAAGCTTGAAACGGAGTCGGGGACTCCGTGTGACCCGGTCTATATAGCCTAAATATCACGTCTAAGCAATGAGCGCTATACTAGTGCCAAAATAGTCCGCAAATAAGAACCGAATCCCGAATGAGCATCATCTACAATTTACTCTTCGCCGCCGCCTCGTTGGCCTTTTGCCACATCCGAATCCGGCGCTCATGCCCAGCATTGAACAGATCTAGCCACTCCTGTTCAAAGGGAGGTAGAACACGCCCCGGCTCGCCTGTCTTGGGGTTGCCCGCCAATTGGCGCAAGGTCTCGAAGTATTCCCGGAAGTCCGGGTTGATGACGCTGAACGCAGGCCCATCACCCTTCTTTGCAATCCGATCTTGTTCCCATTTCTGCTGCTCCTCCAAGGGTGGCAATTGGGCCTTGCCAGCCAGGACCCGCGCCGCAGCCACTGCCTGCCATTCGAAGATCTTAAAAGTCAATCCGGCGCCAACCTGGTTCGTATATTAGCTCGAGTCGTTCGATACGGAAAAAGACGAGCATGAGTACATACCGCTCCCAAGAATGCCAGAGTTGGATCATTCTGGTGGAAGACGTGCAGGTATAGATCGGGAATTCGGTTATTTCTGGTCGGAATCTCCGGCAGGTAGGGCAATGCCCAGGTGAAGCCCGTTCCGAAGATGATATAGTCCACACCCGAGACTGAGGTCCCATCTTCGAAGTACACCGTCCTCTGCCCGTTGTCACTGGAAACGCGCGAAATGGGTGGTTTGCGATTGATTGACGGGTGTCTAAACGCGTAATCCCCAAAATAAGGATTATACCGACCCCGGACCACAGCGTGGATGGGGGATTGCGCAGAGCCGATCAGGCTGACTGCTGTATCTGCCGCAGACACAGAAGCTCCAACGGTGATGACTTTCTATACGTTGTTAACACCAATTGTTGATTTAGAGTTTAGATAGCAGCATACCTTTCCGCGATAGCGTTCGGGACCACGATACTGCTTCGTGTGCAACACGCTCTCTGGGTCTTTGTCGATCCATTCTTTCAGGCCGGGGATAGAGGGGACGTAAGGCACAGAAAAGTGCCCCGAGGCAACCACCAGTGCATCAAACGTCTCACTCCACCAGTAGTCATACCCACCCGGCTTGCCAGCCCGCCGCAAGACCAATTCCCATTGACCGGTCTTGGGGTCTTTAACCGCACGTTCCACGGTCGTGTTGTATTCTACAAGATCTTGATAACCATTGCGGTTCAGAAGATCCTCAACATACTGCCGAATCACGGTGTGGTGACGGAAAGGGGTGTCTGGCCCATGCACCGCGATTGACATCTCTGAGCGGATTGTCGGGATTGACTCTTGGGAATACTCCATGGTCGCAACATCCACATTGGTGTGCAGATTCGGGTAGATATGGGAGTCAGTAAAGCGATGCTGAGTCAATGCTGGTGTGAACGCAGGCAAATCGGACGGAATTGGGAGAGGAGCATCCGCTGTCCTTGTGGATAGCTTATCGACATCCAAAGGCACCTGTTTCTCGTCCCGCGAAACCCTAGTGTCGATTAACTATCGGTCGCGTAAACCAGCAAAGAATTGCTCCCAAAACCTCTGGTAGAAGCTGTATAGACATACCAGCACCCACCGGCTTTTTCCTGTCTCTCGAATACGCGCACCCGGTCAAATGCTTTCTCCTGCATCAGGGCGTCCACGGCAATGGCGCCCGCAGGCCCCGTGCCAATGACAGCCACGCTCTTAATCGGAGACATTTTGACGCAAGCTCTAACGCGTCGGTAGTATGCAAACCGATGTTCTATAGCTCTAGGAACTGGTCACCCTCAGGGTTGGTGGTTGAGTTTATCCTGGATTGCAAGGGGTCAGTTTCTGAGTTGTTCTAGCCAGCTATCTTGATGCCAATCATAGCGCGGATGGCGTCAGCGGAGCCCAGTAATACATCGACATGGGCGCGGGTGATCATCCAGCCCATTTCTATGCAGAAATATTGTACTCACAGAAGCTTCTGTCCCTAATCTAAGTTTCTGTGGCTTATCAACGACGAGACCTAACCATTGCGGCTCCGAAGCACGGTTCACTTTGCGTTTATCTCATTTTTCTTCGTTCTCGACGCTGACTGGTCCATCTCAGCCTCCTGTCACGTGGATGCTGTTAGTCAGTTTTATAAGCACTCCCATTGGCCATAGTTACACCAAACCGGCTCCGTCCCAAGCATCTCAACCAATCAGCTTGTGGCATCGGTTGGCGTCTCTCAATATCCAACTGCAATTGTGATTGAATTCATTGAGTTCGGAAAGACTCCGAAACACTCTCAGTAGCGGGACTTGAGTCACAGCAACTTGCCGTATCGGGCGATCGGAGTAGTATGAACGAATGCCTTCCCTTTCACCGCGTACTGGACTCTTGAACAGAGTGAGAACGTAGTCCTTGGGTGTACTCAAAGGTCGCAGAAAACTGAGCTGGTAGCCACCAGTAATCACTATAAGGGTTAGCAGTCCCTCCTGATATAGTACAGCCTGCTATGTTTGTCCAGGGTCACGGAACCTGCTGATACAACCATTCAGATGCATGAAGGTCGGGGCTATTAACACACACATGGTGAAAGGCAAGCGATAGAACTAGCGAATATTGTGCAGTATGGCGACATTGGCGCATGAGAATAATTAAATTTGCAGAATTATCGACTGCGTGGACTTCGTCTCGCCGAAGCTGAACAATTGTATTCTGGGTGGTGTACTAATCATCTATTCTTTGACACTTGAAGCGTACTTCCCGAGGTCCAAACTGTTGGTCAAAGATTCGTCATTAACAGTCCAGGTTTCCCTGAACAACTCGACATCTTCAGGCATTCCTCAGGGGAATAACTTCTCCGCTGATAAAGCTTGACACTTCTGTCTAACTAACTAAGATCATGCCATCGTAAGCCTACCCGTAGTCACAAGTAGAGTAACTAGCCCCGAAGATGATCAACCGCCCATCACATCTGGGCACTGTTGCGGAGTGCTGCCTCTGATTAGCCCTGGTCTAATTAGGTTGGTTGTTCCCCACACTTAAGGATGATCTTTCTTTACTGAACCTGAAACACCTGTGGGTTTCATGGTAATTCTTGAAGCCTAAAATTTGGGACCTGGGCTATATTCTACTCACCTTCGATGGATCTAACATCTGCTCATGTCCGGTAGAATCGCATTGAATGGGTCAGTGCATGCATGTCCTTTTGCATCAGATATTTTGATGACGTGTAAGGTTTAACAAGAAACTTCCAGAACTTGGGATATGTTGGTAGCCAATCAATACTTGGTCTTTGCTTCCGATAAAAGGAAGGCACGCAACTACACTAACGTCTGACGCCAGATTAGACAATAAGTATCCGTTAGACGTATGAAGCAGGTCATGAGAAGGGGAGAGTCATCGACACTGATGAGTAGGCTGAGGAATGCCCATTAATCTAGACTCAACGGTCAATAGTTCTGTCCCTATTGTCAAAGAGTGCACATGTCAACTGGGGAGGGGCAGGGTTGGTTTCACAGGGATATTTGTCCCACTGTTACAGAGCGACTAAGTCTCATTAGGCAGGCATGAGCGTGAAACACCCGGTTCGGCGATTGGATACAAGAATTATATTATGTTGAAGTAGAAAAGACCCAATGTGATGTGTGTATATCATATTCAGATAGTCTCAGTGTATGGGATGTAAACCGCTCTTGGTCATTTGACGGCTATCGATTCTTCAATGGTCCAGGTCATAGTCATCGCCGCAGATGAGATCTATCCCTCCAGTATGGGTAACTGACTAATATGAGAGGCCAGATGCATATTTTGGAGGATATATTCATTGATTGGAGCTTGTTCCCGAAGCATGATCGGTCGAGGGGTGTTTCATGTTTTACTCTCCTCTGACTGGGTTTGCCTATGCAGTCATAGGTGGTCGTGCCATTACGTACCAGCTGTGATCCTGTGGTCAAAAGCTTGGAGTGATGAATTGAGGTCTAGGGAATTCCTGGTCAATTTATATGCTTTCTTTCCGTGGCATTTATTTGCCAGATGTCGAGAGTCAGTGGTACTCCCTATGACCATGAAAATCTGATGAGCTAGGTCAAATGTAGATGATCCAGTGTCAATATTACAGGCAATTTGCATATCTGCACGTGTTTGGGATAGGTTTCAAGTAATCCACGATAATCAATATAACCAAGGAGAGAAAAAAAACAGTAGCATTTTAGATCGGAAGACAAAAGCCAGAACTCCTCGAGGAGGAGATACACTCGTAAACCCAGGGACCCAATTCCACTATAATCATACGATGATATATCATACCACCACATCACATCAATCAAGCCCAGTTATGGGGTGATCGGCTGTTGATTTTCAGGTATTATCAGTATTAGGAACTTTGGCACGTCGAGATCAAACATTGTCACTTACGATCACAACTGGATTCTGGGGTTCTCTTTGCCCTCGTTGATGTGGCGATCATCTTGGTTGTCGTGGTTATCCATGACATGAATGCCGCCCAGGAGCTGGTGATTATTGACAGGCCTATTGTGACTTGGCCCAGTAGAGAGGGCCGCTCCTAATGCGACGAAAAAGAAGACGTAGGCAACGAAAGGAAATTGCATTGTTTCCTGTCAAGTGAGTATTGCAGATGGAGTTTCGCAGTATGACAGAAAGATAAATGATGCGCAAATGAGCCTGGGTTTCTGAGAGTTCAGGAAGAAGAGACTCGTAAAGAAGATAATATTAGCTACTGAGTGGCTATTGGCACTCTTTAAATAAGTATATCGGTTTGGATGGCCCTACATTAGGCAGAACAGGCAGGCTTCTTCCCCCCCAAACCTCTGATAAGCCACACTGTGAACTCACTATGGCTTCGTATACTAAATGGCTTTCGTTAAATTAATTCCCTTATTTGCATTCCAAATAGTTCCGTATCACAACTAGTGACGCGATATTGCAGACCTTTATCCGCTGTTTCTGGCGATAGTTCACTAATTTTCAAACCCGCGACAAGTGCTGATGGCCTAATGCAGCCAGACCCCGCCAAATAGATTTGTACCTGAAGACCTTTGATTTGAAAAAGAACAATCTATATTGACTGTCAAGTACGTATCAGAACAAAACGGTCAAAAGCTTGTCTGCATGAATACTAAGTACGGAGAACGTTTTAGCAAGGGGCATAAAATACGTTAGATGGTGCGCCTTGACTTGATAGGTCACAGGTTTTAGTCAATAATGATATGCATATTCCCTATTTGAATGAAGTGTGCAGGAGGAGGCTCAGAATCCCTCCTAGTTTCACAACCCTATCAGCATGATAAAGTCTGAGATTCTATCGTTAGCCTTTATGCCTATGGCTATTTGTAAATGGTTTAGCCACACAAATCTGACGACTGTATAGTGATATTTGTGCACCTGTATTTACCTTCGCTACTAGATACTTGGTCATCTCTTGAATGGCTATTATATCGGCGTAATGATCTCATGAAAGCTGGCGCAGAAGTCTTCTGCCTAATGCATGTGGGACAGGCCTCGACAGTAACTGTATTTGCATGAGAAAGGCAGTTAATTCCAGGTCAAACCTGCCAGGATACTGAGGAAGACGTGCTCTTCAGGGGCCGTGGACAGCATGTGACATGTCTTCCAGTCGGTGGGCTCATTTGGTGCACCGGATAAGCCGAGTCGCTAATTATTGGCTTAGTGAACAGGAGCTTGCTTAGTGAACAGGAGCTCTGAAGTATCTTGATCAATAAGGCGTGGCATAGATCAATAGTCGTAATGCTAAGCAATCTTTCGGCTCACATATTAGCCACAGCTTCGGGAAGCTACCTACTTGACTTTTTTTCTTTTTCAAACGGCCTAGAAAGTAGATGCTTTCCCCTAACAAGGAAGCATGTAAGTGCGCTGGATTAGCACAACACTTCGTACCCCAGAACTATTCTCGGATGAATTTGAGATACCATGACATTTACAAAGCTGATATCTGATGATAAGGAGATTATCTACGAGTTAGTGGTGCCTATCAACAATGGACATATCACAAAGCACATATTGATATGAGATCAATGATGATTTGACTAACTAAGGAGATAGATGATAATACATGTCAGGTTAGCAAATCACAATAATCTTCAGATAATGCAGTCATAACCCCGCAGCTTCCATACTAAGAGCCAGCTAGGATCAATAATTCCCGTTCATTTCCATATATCATGCAATTATTGGCCGCATTCTAGGCCGATAAGCCATAACAACGAGTGGAAATTAGCCCTAGGAAAATCCTCAAGTTCAAGACAAGGCAGCTCATTCGAAATGATTGGTTCCTGTTATTTCTGCGATTTAGTGTTTCTGTAAGCCTCTCCCAACTTTCTGGAAGAATGTGTACCAGAAAGCATAGTCAATTCAAGTTTCATGAATTGTCCAGTCACGAGTCCAAAAGGCTCACAGAGGATGAAGAGGAAAGTTATTCTGTATCCCACTCGAAACCGATATCTACTTATATATGGATTCTCCATATTATCATCTTTCTTTTGTGCCTTTCTATTGCGATGTCAGGATGGATGAGGCACCCAGCTACCCCTACCGACCTTGATTGTGCTACGCAACTTTCGCCGTACTGTTAGTTTTGTATTCATCTATTCCACTATATTTCTGCATACTTAACAGCATATATAGCGCCCCTTGTTGGTCTTGTTAAGTACGAGGATATCAGGTTCCAAGGTGATCTGCAGGACGTGAACCCATGGAAAGGAAAACCGAACCCTGCTCTGGATGAGGCATGGGAGAATATCACACATAGTAGGCAAAGCCTCAGCTAACATCTATGTGTACTAACATCGTATAGTGTGGAACATCCAAGTCTCCGCTGATGACATGCTTCGTATAAAGAAGCCACTGACTCAAGTCAAAGCTCCTCCACATCTCGGGGACGGCTATGTTGGTGGAATTGAAGTTTTTCACCAGGTATGAAAGTTTATCAAGATATAGGCTTATTTTGGGCAAATTGCTAAATTATATAGCTTCACTGTGTTAATCTCATCCGTCAGTATACTTATTATGACTACTACATGAGCCTGAGAATAAGCTACTCTCATTTCAGATTGCTCCAGAGAGACTCCGCGCACAAATTGGTAAGCTGTCGATAGGCGCCTTGACTTCTTGATACCATGTCTAACATGCAGCAGATCATGTTGAGATATTCACTGCAGCCAGGCAGCTGTCAGCTGATCCTTCGCCTCTTCTTCCTGCGTGGCCTCTGACCACCATCTTAATCTCAACTACCAACTATTTTTTTAAAATCTAGATAGATTAAATCTATATATCTTTACTTCTTTATTTTGACAGGTTATAAATCTGGTTTTTTGCTGCAGAGCTATATACACCTCTTTTTTCTTAATTTAAAATGATGCTTAAGATTAGTTCTGAAAAGTTATAATATATCTTGTTATTTTTATAATCTGAGATCTTTCTCTATCTTGACTCAACTACTAAAGAATAGGATAAATATCTTAATCTCTTAAAAAGAGCTTATTATATTATAGTTACTTGGACTAAGTAAGAATATACAGAAGATCTAAGATCTTTCTTACTTGCTCCTGTACAAAGACTGTAAGAGTTTCAGAGTTGGTTAAAAGCAGAGTTAGAGCCAGTGCCAGAGCCAGTGCTAGAGCTAGTGCTAGAGCCAGTACCAGAGCTAGTGCTAGAGCCAGTACCAGAGCTAGTGCTAGAGTCAGTATTAGAGCCAGTACCAGAGCCAGTACTAGATCCAAAGTCTCTGTTAAAAGCTTTAAAATCTTAAGTAGAGCTTCTAGTCTTGAAATCTCTATTAAAACAGACTTCTCCGAAGAGGAAGGCAGGTAAAATATTAACTTCTGTACGAGGAAAACTACTTCCAGATATAAATTATATTAAATATGTATATAAATACACACTTGAGCTTTTTAAAAATAAAAGATATTCTTACTGCAAGAGAGCCTTTTATACAGCCTTTATTTACTATTATTTAAACTTTTAAATCCGGCCTGATTACTGGAAGTTATTACTATTTATTTAGTATCTTGAATCACCAAAGACTTTAAAATTAATTAAAATAATTAACTATGTGCTTGCTAATCTAAAGGCTTGTATACAAGAATCTATTTAAATAGCCATCTAAACAGCTACTAAAACAGCTACTAAAACAATTACTAAAACAGCTACCAAAACAGCTACCAAAACAGCTACCAAAACAGCTACTAAAACAGCTACTAAAACAGCTACTAAAACAGCTACTAAAACAGCTACTAAAACAGCTACTAAAACAGCTATCTAAACAATTATTAAAACAGCTATTTAATTAATATCCTCACGTATGCCTGACACACAAGGAAAAGTCATAGAGGAATACTAATAGTTAAACTTATTAAGATTTTTGATTTCTATGCTTAGTTTTATGGGGAGTTCTATTTAAAATAAATTTTAAAATATCTTTATTTATAATCTTGATTACTTTGCATTTCCGCATTTTGATTAAGTGTTTTGAATATCTTGAAATCCTGAGATAAAACCTTTTTATATATATATAATAGTTTCAGATCTGCTTGTCTGGGGGGTGGTATTAAGATATTTACTATAGTTAGATAGTTATTAGCTGATTCTTTGCCTCTTCTTCCTGCATGGTCTCTGACTATTACCTTAATCTCAACTACCAACCATCTTCTTGAGATCTAGATAGATTAAATCCATATATCTTTGCTCCTTCGTCTTGACAGATCATTGCATAGATATTTTAAGGCAGGTGATCCAATGTAATAGTGATGCTGGAGTCATAACAGGAAGTTGGGTAAAGGGCTACAGTAGACCATAGGTTGAATTTAGCACCTGGCACAAGTGTCGTAAGCTTCAGCCTTTTATCGATTATCAGGAAAAGCCTGTGCTAGACTATGAGCCTGTGAAGCCCCTGGATGCTTTCGAGCTTGATGATAGGCCGTGCAAGCATGTCTCCATGGACCAAGTATGTCCCTAGCAGTGGTTATCGTTTAATTGTAGAATTAAATGATCTTTGTAATCTTTGTAATCTTACTACTCCTGCGATTTGTATCTCATGATTATTATCTTAAACTTATATGCAGTGAATAACTACACACAACACTGACACTTAGTTTCATCATTTTTGATAAGACTTGGCTCTTCAGACACTTACACCAGGTCTTGCTGTCATGCAGTGATGACCTTGTATGTGCTGAGACAATATGAAGTATCATACGGAGGTAGCAGATTAGGGTCGCCTACCCCGCGCAAATTGGCCCATGTGATGCCTTTATGCCTTAGGCACGAAGAGTGGGAGAGAAATCCGCCGATCAACCCTGCAATTGCTCCACATCTGCCCGTCCTTAACTTGTTCTTCTTTTTGAGTCTCCGGGATAGGACTTCCAGAAGATTTGGAAATGGCCTTGTCCTTCAGGGCCGCGTACTCAATCCAGACGACGGATAAGCCATCTGCCGTCCACCATAGGGAGTAATACCGAGCGGACTCCCTGCACCTTGAACCTTGATCCATCACAAGTACTATAGCTGACGGACAACGGTCTGACAGGCATTCCTCCTTAGGCTTTATTCTCTTACAAGTGGTCGGGCTGTCTAGTCTGGGGCTTATGACTGGGCTTACCAGTTTTCTGGAATTCCTCCAGCGATTGATCTCGTCCGCACTACTCTTTGGCATCTGCAGCAAGAATTCTCGATACAAAGGCACTTCAAGGATAGGGCCAAGGCTGACGCAACCAGCCAGAATGTACCTCGGGCACTGATCAAGTGCCCTGGATGCTTGGAACGCTGATCAGGAACATGGTTGCGATTATTCGCTCCGATTGGCGGCTGAATTAACCATGACCCATGGCTATTCCGAAGGACGACTCCAAACCCATGGCTCTCCACGTTTGTGATTGCGCTTACATGGGCAGGGAAATTTACCTCCTCAAGACCCTGACTTCGTCAGTATGCATCACACGGAGAATGTTTCATGGACTTGTCTGGGGTAAATTAGTTATCAACTTCAGAAAGTGACTGGTGGTGCCATGACGGACGTGTCGAATAAGGCTGGGTCCGTTCCCTCATTCTAACGGTTCGGCCTCATTTTTGGGAGCATCGATCAATTTCTGTCTTGGACTAAACCCCCGAGCCCGCCAGTGTTTCAAGATCCCTGTGGTTTAGAGTTAGGCATCTGACACAGCAACCGACTCCGAAGCCAAACTTGCTCATGAAGCGGATTGATGTTGTTTTTGTCCCGCAATAGTAAGATGCCGCTTGCATCATCTGGGAACGCGTGCTCAATCCCATTGCAAAACCTGGTTCATCGATGATCTCATCCGATCAACCCTCACGGACGGCATGTTGAACCCCTATGCCTATCAGCATATCACCTCTTCGCGAGCGTCACCCATCGGCAGGCATATAAAGAATCCTCGTGGTCCCCGTCCCCTACCGACCGTATATCAGGCTTCATCGCTTCCTTTCCTTCAAACCTGACAGTAGTAGCTCTCAGGCTCTTCAATTCTTTCTTTTAACAACACTTAGGACAACAACTACTGCAATGAAATTCCAACACGTCGCACCGGTGTGCCTTGCGGGCTGTGCCCTGGCCTTGCCGACTCCGGTCGAGAAGAGACAGGATCTCTCCGACCTCCTTCCGTTCCCTATCCCAAGCAATCTAATTCCGACTGGCCTTTCCCTTCCGTCTGGCCTCTCCCTCCCATCCGGTCTCTCCCTCCCCTCAGGCCTCCCCAGCTTCTCTCTGCCTACGGATCTGTCCGACCTAGGCTTGAAGCGCCGGGACGTGCCTTTCTCTCTGCCCTCTGGTGCTGCACTTCCTACAGACTCCCAGGGACTGTCTCAGCTCCTGCCCTCTGGTCTCCCTGACCTGCCCGACCTCGGCATCACCTTTCCCACTGGCCTTCCATTCGAGAAGCGCCAATTCGGCGGTGGTGGGGCCCCTGGAGGCGGATCCTCTGGTGGTCCATCCTTCGGCGGTGGCTCTGGAGGCCCGTCCCTCGGTGGCAGCAGCGGCGGCGACTCCTCCAGCCCCTTCGGAGGCCTACCCGGCCTTGGTGGTAGTGGCTCATCCTCTTCCCAGTCCGGCGGCTCTCCCTCACCCTCCAGCGGTTCATCCTCCTCCGGCGGAATCCCCGACTTCCTCAGCGGCCTCGGAGGCTCTTCTAGCGATTCTTCTAGCTCTGCTCAGCCCTCCAGCGGCAGCCCTCTCGGCGGTCTCTCCAGTATCTTGGGCGGGCTCGGAGGCGACTCTTCCCAGTCTTCTAGCAGCCCCTCTGGCTCCTCTCAACCCTCCAGCAGCGATCCCTTCGGCGGACTCTCCGGTATCCTAGGCGGGCTCGGAGGCGACTCCTCCCAATCTTCCAGCGGGCCTTCTAGCTCCTCCCAGCCCTCCAGCAGCGACCCCTTCGGCGGACTCTCCGGCATCTTAGGCTCTCTCGGCGGCGGCTCCAGCTCCTCCTCGTCCGCGGGTGACTCCTCCAGCCCTTCCCAACCCTCCAGCGGCACTGCTCCGCCCAGCCAACCCTCCGGCGGTTTCCCTAACCCCTTCGGCGGCTCCTCTTCCTCCTCCTCTGACTCCTCCGCCCCGGCACAGCCCAGCGGCGACGGCCCCCAGCCCAGCGCCGCCTTCCCCAGCATCAGCCTCCCCGAGCCTACCGGCGGCAGCAGCAGCAGCAGCTCTTCCGACTCCAGCGACAGCGACTCTTCCTCCTCCGCATCGGACTCCGAGCCCTCTCTTAGCCTTCCTACTCCGTTGGCGTTCTCGCCCGGTGGTCTGAACCTCCCGGCTCCTTCGTCTAGCTCGGCTATTCCGACTATCTCAGCTGTTCCTACTAGTGCGGCTGTGCCGACTGCGCCGTCTTCGTTTAAGCAGTTTTTTGCTTAGAAGATGGTCGACACGGGTTGTAAACAGATGGGTGGGTCAAAGTGGGTAGGTAGATGGATGGATGAATGGGCAGAGGAATTGAGGTGATGGGGATGGATGCTGGATATGGGTGGATGTGATTTAGTTATGTCATGCTTGCTGGTCAGGATATGAGGATATGAAATTTATATGGTAGTTCTTTTGTTGAGATGGTTGTGGTGTGTACCTAGATTGTCAATGAGATGGATGGTCAGTTGGTCGTTTAAGTGTGGTTCATACCGTAGTAGTAATCTGTTCTGTGAGTTGATCTTTCGTATTTCAAAATATCTTTGTTTTAGGGAGGTAGCCAAGGTGGAGGAGTGATTAGAACCGTCCTAGCTGTCAAATAGGTGATATATATGCCATGCGCAATCCTCGGGTGGCATTGAACGTATCCAATTAGTTGCCTTAATATGTAAAACCAAACAGCATTCTATATCATGCAAACCTATATAGAATACATAGTTTTAGAACCTATAGACCCTTCATCAGTCATCTACCGATACTCTACAAACCCACAATATTCCGCTGATTCTATGTATGCGAGTAACCATCACGATCTAGTAAACTCTAATATACACATCGCAAGTTGGACTTCTCAACACCTCCTCAAGGAAGCCAAACATCCACCTCTAACTCCACGCGGTGTTCCGCAAACGGCAAACTCTCGATCCCTACCGTTGTGAAAAGCGCCTGGTGATTCGGGCACGCTTTCTTGATGTGTCCCACCATGATTGCCCGGGCTTCGTCCCGCACCGCAGACAATGCAACAACGTAGGCGTGCAACTTGACGACATACTCCGCCTGTTGGAGGGTCCGCTCGATGAGAGATTTGGTATTCTCGAATGCCTGGGCAACTTGACCTTCCAGGTCAGGAGAGGTTCTGAGACGTGTATGGATTCATTCCCGCTAGGAGTTTGGACGGTCAGTTGAGTACTGGCCTACGGGATAGGTACGCGAACTTACTCTGGCCGGTGACAATCAGGCGTTCACCAATGATGCAGGCATCGCTGAAGCCGTATTGCTGGCGGCATTGCTCCCCGAAGCCGGGCAGAGAGTAGTATGTGAAAGAGGACATGGCGAGAGACCAAGTGATACTATATCTCATGAAATTGATTGGAGATAGATACTATCAACTATAGGTATTTCATCACTCTTATACTTAGATTAGAGCACTATACAGCAGCCAAGTCCGAGATAGAATAGGTTAACTAATCAACTATGGCTCCGCTTCGTCAGCGGAGGGACCAGAATACTTTGGCTCCATTGACCCACTTACCCACCATTGCCAATCCCCCAACGTCCGGATCGGAACCATCCCCTCGGTGTGCACGGATTTTTGGCATCGTTTGGCTCCGAATTATGACAGCATGGTTTCGGTGACTCGGAGTGGGAGTTGAACTAGTATCAAGGTGATCGGCGTGCCGGAAACCTGGCCATGGCTATTTTGCAACGGATAGCGGATAGGTATAAACCCCACGCAGGAACGCCCTTCGCTTCGCGGGCCACCCTCCAGTATGGGGCCCAAGAAGGCACGGATGACGGCCGGGTTTAGGAAACATGTCTTCTTTTGGCGGTACGGAGAACTTTAGATGCGGTAAGGCGGACCGATCCGATACCCAGAGCACTCAGTAGATATCAAGATATGCCCGCCACACGTGTTGTAAAACAGACTCCATAACTTTTGCATTCTGTATCAATTCTTTTGTATTGTCTGGGTATTTATAGCTACATTGTCAAGGCTCATTCAGTCTTTGTGAGTACCCTCTGTGGTTAGCCTGAGTTTGATAGATTGCGGTGTGCACAGCACCTGCAGATACATTTGACTCATTGGTCAACAATGTCCGGGATATGCAGTCACACGCACATTAGCCCGGGGTCAAAGCTAAAGGAACCTCCTGCGTCATATCCTTTTCTCTAGGCTCATCTCGATCATACATCTGCCATGCATTCTCTATGAACCCTCTCATCCCAATAAAATATAAGTTCTATGAGATGTCTCTACTAAAATATCGGTCATCTAGTCAGGTCTTATTCCGTGGTTGTGGACGGTAACCATACAGTAGGGTTCCAAATTCGTCTCTGTCGTATACAGCTTGACCGTACTGTATCAAGCCATGGCTAGTTTCTTCCACCTATCACATCAAGTCATTAATCTTACTTGCAGCAGGGCTATCTTCAGCTGAGTCTCGTCTGCAGGCCTCAGCCTTGTGAACATGGATGTTTGGTCAGATCGAGACAGTTCCACATGTTCCGCTGACTCACCCGACTCGAAGCAACCGACACGCTGGTGGCCATAGGGCCCAGGTGCTATTCATATAGAACTTGTAGATCTATCAAGGTGGTGAAAGACTAACTCCTGACGAAGGTGTTCTTTTCGGAACTATCCTCGCTCTGGACCCAACGTTTGTCTGCAGTTCGAGGCTTGATAAGCACATGCCATGCTTGGAGATCTTCGGTTTCTCCCTCGTTTAATTGGTCTTATCACATTAGGTCGTCGGCAGTACTCAGGGGCGTACGTTCCCACGAGTGTAATTCAGGGCTTTGGACCGCAGGGCGCGGGCGTCCGAGGCCGGGGATCAAAGGATTGACACTGAGTCAGTAGATTACACTGCCTTGTTTTTGAGAAGGCAAAAAAGATAACAAAAAAGCAAAAATAGAAATGGATTCGCTGTGTCGATTGGGGCGAGGCTATCAAACACAAGGCCCTGAAGTGCGACCTGTTAGCACCCCCAGAAAGCAAACATGCAGCCTTGCTTACGCGGCTAAGCTGAAACTACCCCTCAAGCCCCAAAGGCTCGACGCATCAGTTCATTTCGCCCACCTCTTACATTGCTCGTGGCTTTCTCTTCCAGATATCGTGTGCTGGGCTCCTCTTGCGCCTCTACAGTCGTCATATATATCATGCCTGGATCCCCCTCCAATCTCACACCAGTACAGAAAGATTGTTTACCGCGAGCCTCCCAACAAAATTAGGACATAACACCTTTCTTGATCGACCATGCCGGGGCGAGGTCTAACGCTCCTCTCATTGGATGGTGGAGGGGTACGTGGATTGAGCAGTCTGCACATTCTCAAGCATTTGATGGAAAGAATCAAGGATGAGAAAGGACTGGCAGAAGAGCCCAAACCATGCGAGTACTTTGATATGATAGGGGGTACAAGTACTGGAGGGTATGCTTTACCTGGATGGGTCAATATAACGTTTAATCCGACCTGTTGGGCTGACACTGCTTCTTCAGCCTGATCGCGATCATGCTAGGACACCTGCGGATGAGCGTCAACGAGTGCATTCGGGCCTATCTTAGACTCACCCAGCGCGTCTTTACCCCAATTCGATCGAAGTACGTATCGCTCGGGTTTTCTAGGCACTTGGGAGATGTGGTCAGCCGATTTGACTCATCCGCCCTGGAGGAAATAGTCAAGAGAATCATACGTGATGCATCATTGGACCCCGATGCGCTGTTCTACGACGAGGATCGTGCTTCGCAATGCAAAGTGTGGGTAGTCCAAATTTGATTAACTAAATATGTCTATGCGATCAATGCCATCGGCGTTTTTCACTAACAATGCGTTTCCGTAGGTTTGTTTGTGCGCTCCAGTCGGAAATAGCCACCCCCGTGTTGCTCACCAACTACAAAAGCAAGAGATCCGATTCCGATCGTCGCGAATCAGTCAAGATCTGGCAAGCTGCTCGAGCCACTTCAGCGGCTTCTGGTTTCTTCGATGCACAAGAGATTGAGATGTCGGCGGGCTATGTAGAGACCTACACTGACGGCGCCACGGGCTACAACAACCCCATCCGACAGCTCTGGACTGAGGCACGGGAGGTTTTCCTACCCCAGGGGGAACGTCTCGAAGATCATCTTGATGCCATCATTTCTATCGGGACGGGCACCCCGGCACTGCAGGCTTTTGGAACAAATTTGAAAGATATCGCAACAGCCCTCGTGCGGATCGCGACCGAGACAGACAATACAGCCAACCATTTTCAGCGCGAATACAAGGAACTGGATTGTGATGGGCTGTATTGCAGGTTGTCAGTCGCCAACGGGCTGCAGGATATTGGACTGGAGGACCACCAGGAGGCGAACAAGATAATGGCGGCAACCAAGGCTTATTTGGATCATCCGGACACTGTATCCAAGTTGACGAAGTGCCTGGAGCGGATGAGCCAGCATGAATGTGAGGTCGACTATAGATAGGGTGTCGTTAGCATACTAAGACTTTGCCAGGTCTGTATGAAATGAATTCCACCGATCGAGCGCGAAACCAGGAAGCCCATCTCCCTTTCCCCAGTAAGAAGCAATGCAAATGCAGTCATCCCCCTCTAATGAGTCTAGAGAACTGACTCCGGCCCAGCATCTACGGCAAGAGCCCTCGAGCTCCTTGACTCTATCTCTGCTTATAACCATGATCGCGTCCAACTCTCACTTGCCCAGGAAAGGTTGCCAGGCACGGCTGAGTGGATCTTCGAAAGTGATCAGTATAAGAAGTGGTGGAACGCAGATCACACTTCCTTCCTACTATGCACTGGCCCTAGTAAATAAACCGAACTGATACTATCCCCCGTCTGAGCGTTTGTAGGCTAACACGACCATACAGTTGGTTGCGGAAAGACCATTCTCGCGTGAGTATACCTCCCTGATTATACAACTTTATAACAAGACGGTCTTGCCATCTCAATCCTTCTCCATGCTTACCTGATGTTCTAGTACATTTGTGATAGAGAACTTGTTGAAGCAGAGTAACCCCGTCTTCTATTACTTTTGCCACGAGTCATGGGAAGCTTCCCCAGATGCTCAAAGTATATTGCGGTCGATTCTCAAGCAGATTATTCTCTTCTGCGCCCGAACAAGGCAACCCTTGTCGGATGCGGCAGTCGCACGCCTCGAGGAAGCTTCGAAAGAGAGTACAGATCTCGATGCCCGTGAACTCATAATCAATCATTTGCACCTCCTTACAGACGCATTTCTGATTATCGATGGGCTGGATCTACTCGAGGAACCACACATCAGCCAAATTCGGGAGACCTTGATCACTATCTCTCGAAGCTCGCAAGTACATCACCTCAAAACCGCGCTGTTCTATCGGAGGACCCTGGCTAGAGGTGTCGACCTCAGCACTCAGTGGAAGAATACCATTCAACTGCCGCTCTCGATAGACCATCTGGGAAGCGATATCAGAACTTTCGTCAATACTGAAGTAGATCGAAGACAACAGTATCGCAAAATTACGGATAGTGCGTTGACGTTGGAGTGGATCAAAACGGAGCTGGTATCTCGAGGCGAGCAGATGTGCGTATACCATTGAGTTCAGTTGCACCAACAGCTGGGGACAGGACTGATATAATCGACAGGTTTCTATGGATAGTGCTTCAGCTGGACAGCCTCTGGACCGATGTTTATAGTGAAGCCGACATTCGGGACAGAATGAACGAACTTCCTCGTGGGTTGGAATCCACATACAACCGTTGCCTCGAGCAGATCGTGAGAGTGAAGGACGGCAAGCAGGAACAAATGGCGCACAAGATCATGTTGTGGACACTGTGTGCGGCAAGACAATTGACAACTGCAGAGACCCAACGGCTAGTCGCCCTGGATGACAAGGATGAAGAAATCCACTCTGAGCAGTTCTTGAATCACGACCCGACTGCGTATTGTGCTAACCTTCTGGTTCTCGGATGCGGCGGTCCGCAATTCACCCACCCCTCGGTGAAGCAGTTCCTCACCGATCCATCAAGGCTGGACCCGGAGCTGAAGTGGGAAGCTCTTCCTCTCAAAGTAGCGAATTGCCGGGTTGGCAGATTATGTGGGATTTTCATGAAGAGATACTTGCAACTGGTGCCGCGAGGGCGCACAGCGAAAACCCCTGTCGATGTGGCTCTGAATGTGATGAGGGGAGTTCTTACAAACCCCTTCGTCCAGAGTATCGTGGATTCCCCTTTTGGCCTCAAGGTTGTCGATGCCTCGATTCGCCAGAAGGTGAGGATTTCCATCGACCAAATCACACACAATGCCCGGCATGTTCACTCGCAAGCAGCGTCACCTCAACCAGCGCATGCTACTGATCCTGACG